AAAAGAAAAAAGAAAAGGAACACTTACTACCAAAGAAATGGAAAAAACAATAAATCAAACTATTAAAATGGTACAAGAAAAAGCAATGACAGATGATCTACGAGCGCTTAAAAACAAAACAAGCGTTAACAAAAGCAGCCGTATCGCCAACTTAAGTCCATTTTTGGACGGAAATGGTATCATTAGAGTTGGAGGACGACTAAGAAATTGTCTACTTCCATTCGAGCAAAAACATCCCATCATATTACCGTACGACAGTCATCTAACAACACTAATTATCAGAGATGCACACGAAGAAACCCTACACGGAGGAAACACATTGGTATTATCATATATACGTCAAAAGTACTGGATCATAAATGGAAAGAACAAAATACGTTTTCTGATCCACAAATGTCCAATCTGCATTCGACATAAAGCACAAACAGCAAAACAACTGATGGGCGATCTGCCGGGTCCAAGAATCACACCCTCACCACCGTTCTCACATACTGGAGTAGATTATGCTGGTCCAATCTCTGTTCGAGCCAGCAAAGGTCGCGGATACAAATCCTACAAAGGATACATCGCTGTATTTATATGCTTAGCTACAAAGGCAATACATCTGGAACTGGTCAGTGATATGACAACTGAAGCTTTCCTGGCCGCATTTCGAAGATTCTCTTCAAGACGTGGAAAAATTGCTCACATGTACAGCGACAATGGAACCAACTTTGTTGGTACCAGTAATATCTTCAGTAAGAACATGCTGCAAGAAGACGATTTCCAAAATGCAATGATTACACGTGGAACCGAGTGGCACTTCATCCCACCAGCATCACCACATTTTGGTGGACTATCATAATGGGAAGCAGGGGTGAAGTCAATGAAGTTTCACTTAAAACGCATTATGGAGATTCAACACTCACATTCGAGGAACTGAGCACGCTTCTTTGTCAAATAGAAGCATGCCTCAATACAAGACCACTGTGTTCACTAAATAACGACATTAGTAACATGGAAATTCTCACCCCAGGCCATTTCCTAATTGGACGTGAGATACTATCCCCCAATCATCCAGCAATAAATGATTTTTCCACAAGCTTAACGACGCGATGGAAATCAATCCAGAAAATGAAAAGGGATTTCTGGAACGCATGGTCAAGCCACTATTTAAACAATTTACAACAACGATACAAATGGCAGAACAAAGAGAATAATATCAGCATTGGAGATGTTGTCATCATCAAGGACAACCAGGTGAATCCCAGCAGATGGCCGCTAGCAAAAGTGACCGAAATCTTTCCTGACAAATCTGGCGATGTTAGAGTGGCAACAGTTAAGAAATCAGATAGCCAGCCGATGAAAAGAAGTATTCATCAATTAATCCCATTACCAAACACCAAAGATCCAGAAGCCGAAGTGAGACAGTCGACACAACGAAAATCCAGCATTTCCAAAGTTACAACAATAGTAACCCTGATGCTTTGTATGATGTTGTGCCCTTCTGTATACGCAAATTTCACTGTGAGAAATATGAAACCTGGTCTTTACATGGAACATCTTGGCCACTCGCAAATTGAAAAGGGCATTTTTAGAGTACAGACTACAACCGACACAAAATGAAAGAAAATGTTGAAACCTCCGAAAATGTTTATAAAACTTTCGAAAATCTTTGCGAGAAAACAACGGACATGACATATGACACTCAATGTTCTACACTATCTCATCATTTACACGAGGTATTCGAAGAACTAAAGTGGACAACCCAAGTAATAGATAAAACACATAAAAGACGAAAAAGAGGCATTTTGGGAAAACTGCTTACTTCAGTATTTGGCGTGAATGATGAAGTACACGAAGACATCGACAGCATTCAAAAGAACCAAGATGAACTACTTAAAGCTGAACATCACCAAACAAAATTTATGCTGTCAGCCTTAACCTCATTTAACGAAACAGAAGCAAGAATACAAAACAAATTGGAATTGTTCAGAAGAAAATTAAATCAAGCCTTATCAGCAATGAACGACATGAAAGGCTGGTTTAAAACCATTGACACAAACAAGCTGAACATTCACATCCTGACATCATATGAAGTAGCCAACGGGTTTATAACAGAAGTCCTGGACCTACTCCAAGCTGCTTGCTGCGTTTCCGGAAAGGCAACTTACACGAATTGATTTCACCAATACGTGTAAATAGGATCCTGAACGATGTTCGAAAAAAATTACCCCCAACACTGAATATATTGACGGAACCTTTATTAAAGACCACGATGAGGACGACAAACGAGTCTTTCCAAGTATTTAGTCATTTTTTACTAGTGGGAACCACAAACTTCACCTTGATGAAAGTGACCCCAATTCCTGTGAAAATATCTAATACATCATATTGGGAACCAGACGTCACCGTTCCATTTCTCAACGTCGACTACAACCGTCAATTATACTATGGATTGAGCGAAAACGAGTTCAAGTCTTGCATATTGACCTCAGCAAACGAATATGTCTGTTCACCAACATCAGTTAAAAATATAGGAACGGCATCTAATTGTGTAATTGATGAAGTATACCAACGATTCGAGACAACCAAATGCAAACTGGTCCAGCGAAGTCTTATTGGAACAATGTGGAAAGAATTGCGATAACTTGCAATGGCGTGAGAGAAGAAGTCACGTTGAACAAGACGAATATAATCCAAATTGCCCTGGACTGAATCATACAAACAAAATCCAACATCCTGACGCCAAGAAGGATTGATTCAATCCCAGTGATAGAATCCTTCACGAAAACCATATTATACAACTTCACAAATTTCAAACTGACAACCAACAACTCCTATCTCATGGAGCCCATTGAATCCGTGATTAGGGATTCCCAGAACTTGGAACATCTTCAGACCATGGAAAACAACATTCAGGAAAAGCTCGACGAGAACCAATGGAGAAAGATTCATCATCATTCCATATCAATCAGTATCCTCACGTCAACAACCCTGATCATCATTATGATAACTTTGACCGCAGGGTACCGGTTCTGTCAAAGATGCCGAAGGAAGTCTGCTGACCATAGAGCTTCAACAACCACCAGATCATCACCTCAGGAGGGTCAACTGATGGAACTAATGCCACTATAATCCAGCATCCAGGAGACCTAAATGATGGAACTGATGCCAAACCAGCAATCGAGAGGGGGCAGACTGTTTAATCGTCAATTAAACAAATTTAATATCTAATTCTTTCCAAAATTTTATATTTAATATTTTTTATTTTTTTTTATTTTAATTTTTTATATTTAAATAATTTAATATTTCGAAGCGGTGACCGACCCAAAGGTGCTGAGCCTACAAAATCCGTACCAATTAATCGGTCATCGCCGTTAAAACTGCATATTTGCACATTGTTTAAATTATCTAGTTGCTACGTCACATTAGAATTATGTATAAATAGGAATTAATTTAATAAAACTCTCTCTCTTTCAACCACAACCAACCTCTTATTCACATCTACCTAACTACCCTCAACATTCCCTAAACTCTACAAGAGTCTACTAGTTTTAAATTAAAAATACTCAATGTTTACGCACTCATATACAGGGTGTCCCAGAACTCGCGCCACAGAGAAAAAGGGGGCGTGCCGATAGCAATGGAGATGCCAAATTTAAAAATAAAAAATTTCCAGGTAATAGTGTAATCGAATGAGAGCAAAAAAGCGGCAGCCAATACCGAGAGCTCTCGCCTAGGTTAAACGTAAGAGCTTTAAAAGTTGCTAGGAGACGATAGAACATTGTTGTATTAAAAACATTTAAAAATCTTTTGGCCAACTGTATTTACTAAGTTGTCAAAAGCTTTCAAAAATGAGGTTATTAATCTATGACTTATACTTCAGAACGCCAATGTTTTAAAATAACGATTAGGAAAGGGCTGGGAAAAAACTCGCGTTGTCTCCCTGGCGTTGCGCCCACACTAAATAAATAAATAATTATCATTTCAGTATAATCACCTAAGGAAAACATTATTTATAATTTATAACCTAATATAATATTAATATTAATGACAGGAGTTTGACAGCAGTGTCACAATGAATTGGACCAAATATTTTACATATTTTTTATTATCAACAATGCAACCTAAGTATCCTAGCAATTTAAAGAATTCCCTATGGCCATCTATTGGGATTGGCTATCGTTTTTTATTCTTATCTCCCTTATCCTTTGCGTTAGACAATTTTAATTTTCAAATATGTGTTTCACGTTACTTTCGGCACGTTCCGGTTTTCTATGTGGCGCGAGTTCTGGGACACCCTGTATAAATAATGGTAAGGTATAATTTTTAATGTAACAAAAATGTTTGGGGATAAAAATATATTTGATTATATTACTTTAAGAACGTTAACCCAGTCATTTCTTCACCCCGTCAATTTTATTTTCGACTCAATTCAAACTGCCCAGCATATGAACATAATATTATTAAAAAGGGTCCAGTGCATTTTTATGCAAATTTTGTTAAGAGTCGATTCTTACACAGAAAAAAAATTTCTTTCATTCTGTATAATAATCAGCTCTATACCATATAAAATAACAATATACATGTGTTTTGTGAGTTGCGTATCATAAAATAACGAGTAATGTCCTGAACTGGCTCTCATAAAAATTTTACTACTATGGACTTGTCTGGTTATTGCACTGGACCTTCATATGCAGTATAGTGAGGGGAGACCAAAATTCTTAGATTACTTTGAAGTAAGTGTAGTAAAAAGAACGTGCCTATATTAACAAAAAAAATTTTAAATTTGAAACATGATTAGTTGATAGATTTCTATTCTTATTATGAATAGATAGTCTAAAAACATAAAATTAAAAAAAAACCTTATATGTAACACAAAAACTAATAAAAAAAATAGTAATATTTTGTATGCTTAAAATAAACCTGTGGTATGGTTGGTTTCAAAGCATACCTATGCTTGTTATTTTTCTTAACTAAACATATTATAAGTTTAAAAAATATTTATTTTTACTTACTTGCAGTTTTGATACCAACTCATTTAATTTTACACCTTCTGTGGGAAGACCACCCTTTGGACCTGCATCTTTCCAATTACGAAGAGGAAAGCTAAATGTAGGTAACAAGTTACCTTGCCATGTTGATACTGTTTTTGAACTACCATATAATTGTAAAAACAAATTCTCAAATGGCTTAAAATTTACAATGCCAACTTGGTCATTTAACAATCTGGATGCAGTTTCAAATGAACCTAAAAATAAAATTGTTATCGTAATTATTAATGTATCATTAGATACAAACAAACACTGTTTTTTGAGTTTCACGAATTTATTTCAATTTTATTTTGACAATTGTTTCACTAACGCTTCTTCAGAAATGATTTCAATTTTTTTCTAATAACAAACTTATTTAACCCAGTTATTGCAGGTAATGGGTTTTTTTAAACTAATTTTAGTATAGTATGACAACTTTACTTGTTGAAGTATAATTTAACAATGGTTGTAATCAAATAATTTTGGGGAATTTTTTATAATATTAGAATAAATTTAACAGAGGGGAATTATTTGTTTCTATTTGATCATTGAGGATACTATCAGATTATTTAATTTATTAATTTCTAATGATTCAGGTAAATTTAACTTCGTACCTTTATCTGCAACATGTAAAATTTTAAATTTATTGTTACATGAATGGTTTTCTTGAATTAAATGATTGGCATAAGTTGAATCTGTTTTTTGATTTATAAAAGATTTTCTATGTTCATTAATTCTGGTTTTAAAATTCCGGCCAGTTTGGCCTATGTAAGTTTTATAATATTTATCGTAATTAATTACAATAGGCCTCGGTACCAGTTTTTATAACTGTTTTTGAGGTCATAAATAAATAAATAAATAAATAAAAAATAAATAAATAAATATAGCAAATTAATGATTAATTAGGCAACTTTAAAAAGCCGTTTGTTTAAATGCAATACATACTTTTACCCGAAATTTCTCTGTTCTAGATTTTTATAATTTAGGTAAAATTATAAAAATCTATAGTTTCTAAATTAATAAATAATTTTTATAGTAAGATAGTTAATAAATATATAATAAAAAAATATTGAATAAATCAACCTGCAAGAATATGATCCGCAGCCAATTGTGAACTTTTTGTCCATGATGAAGGAAGGGAAGTTCCTTGAGTTGGCAGATGTACATAATTATCTGAAGTAGTAATTTCAGTAGGTCCTAAATCTGGTATTTCTAAATCTGCATCTTCTACATCCCAACCACCATCACCATCACCTTCCAACTCTACAGATTTTTCTTCTGGTTCTAAGACATCCTCATCATCACCCCAACCTCCAGCACTTTCCATTTCAAGATTGGCAGAGGGTTCAGCCATAAGAGATTTTCCAACCGCACTCGAAGATACGGCAGCTCTATTTTCAAAGAAGCTCTAAAAAAATATTTAATTGCAATTTAATTAATAAGGGGTTTTCACAAACTTACTTTTGATACAGTTAACAGTGGCCAATTTGGTTCTGCTTGTTGTATTGGTGGAGGTGGTTTAAGAAATATAGCATTTGGATCAACATCAGGCAATTTTTTATCATCACCAATTTGAACTTTAAGTATTTCTGCATCATCAACCATACCATGACTAGCAGCAGTGAGATATGCTAAAGCATACTGTTTTGAATCTTTTAATACTTTAACTCTTTCTTTTAAATCTCCCAAAAGTAATGCTCCATGATACTGTGAAGACCTTGCTTTTCGTATTTCTGCAATTTTTGTCATTTTCACTAATTTATCCAAATTACCTGTTACTAAATAAAGAAAAGATAATTTTTCAAAACTCTTGGTGCGTTGATAACACATTTCGACAACTTGATGGTTTCCTTGCCATAGAGCTGCTTCGGCTAACTCATCCCAGCATGATTTATCATTTAAGGATTTGGCAGCTTCCAATGCAATTTCAATATTTCCACATTCCAATGCCAAAGAAAATCTAGTTTTATCATCTTTTACAAAGTGCAAAGCTACTTCTGGATAACCTTTTTGTTGTAAATATGAAATAATAGACTGCCCTACTAATCTTGAGTTTCTAACCATATATAAAACTTCCTCATATTTGTGATTAATCAAAGCCAATTTAAATTTGTATTCAGTTGGGTCTACAGTTAACACTCTAGGTTTACATTCTCTATCCAGACAAAATACCTGACTTCCTTTAACTCTGGTAATGTAAATTGGAAGATCTAATGTGCGGATTATTCCATGATCCCTTAAATAAATAATAAATATTGTTATTTATTTAAGAATGTTTGAGATTTACTAATATTGATTTAAATTTGCTTTTTCATTTTGTTTTATATTTAAGGGGAACGTCTTTTTAAATTTGCAACTCTAGTTTCTAAAAAAATTGATCTCAATAGCGAAAACCAATCAGATTTTTTTACTTAAAGTTAAAGTTAAATAAACTCAACAAGAACAATGAAAATGTTGCGATCTGACTGGCTTCTCAGTTAAGCCGGGTCTACAATTGTCGAAGGGATCCGATCGCAGAACATAAGCTTGCGCAAAGCACCCCGCGACGCGTCGCGACGTGGCGATGGAGCCAGGTTCTTTTGTCAGCTGGGTGCTTTGCGCAAGCTTATGTTCTGCGACCTGCGACAATTATAGACCCGGCTTCAAACTCTCTTGCAGCGACGTGTGACCTTGCTCCATCGCAACGTCGCGACGCGTCGCTGGGTGCTTTGCGCAGGCTTATGTTCTGCGATCTGCGACCTGCGACAATTGTAGACCCGGCTTTATATCTCAGTGAGTCTTGGGAATTTCAAAAATTTGTAGAGGAGACACCTTCTTGAAGTTTGCATTACTAGTTAAAATACTTTTGAGTTAATTATAAAATAAAATTAAAATTTTCGAATTAAAGGGTAAAAAAGTCATGTACCAAAAATGGCAGACAAAAGTATAGTTTTTATAAGTTTTGACTATTTTATAAAAAAACATTTTCTAAGAATAAATTTTTGATTTTGTTACACATCTATCAACCATCATTTGTAATATATCTATCAACCTGTTTTATTTAAATTGTTTAAAAACCTTTTTTTTTTAATTTTATGCCCACTTAAAATAGCTTTCCCTATCGCGTGATATGGCGTTAGTGCGCCATTTTCCGGGCCCCTTTCCAATAAAAGAAATATTTTTAATTTTTGAGTGAAAATACTGTTTTTTAGTAGTATAAAAGTTTTCATATTATAACAGCCTATATAGAAAGACTTCATGTTAATACTAGTTCAAAAGTCAAATTATTTTAAACCTCCGTACAAAAATAAAGCTAAAATGTCATCATGTCAGTTGGCCCCAACCTAAAAACGATGTAATCTTAATTAAATATTAAATGCTTGAAAAAAAAAAGTACATAAAAGCCGGCGGCGAAAGCTTATTAATTTCCTCGCAGTGAAATATATGCTCAGCTATAATCTAAGCTTTCTCCGCCTGGTCTATAATATTATAGACCAGGGGTGCGATTCTCGAGTTGAGAGAACGCTATTCTCATGAGAAGTGGGCGTGTTTCACTTAAGTTTTGACAGGCTGCATTCTTAAAATCATGCAATAGTTTGGTTTTCCTAAAGCAGAAAAGAGTTTCCGAGAGAAGAACGCACTAACTTATCTTAAATTCAATAATGCAGCCTGTCAAAACTTGAGAGAAATGCCCACTTCTCCTATGAGAAGCGTTCTCTTAACTCGAGAATCGCCACCCAGGCGGAGAAAGTACATATGTACTATTTTTACTTGCGTATCATAATAAGCAACATTAATAAACCCATTTGCATTTTATAATATCTCTTTACAATACGCAAATAAATGGGGGATATTTTTTACAAATGTGCCAATAGTTATGTCATAAACGTCAGTTAGCATATTTTGTTTATGCGAATTTTCTTTGTTGCTAATGATATACGTAAAGCTAGCATAAAGTAATATCAACTGCAGAATAAACTCCTAAATAGCAATATGAATTATTTGACAGTTTAAAATTTTCAAGAACTCATCTCATAAGACGGTTTCTCGCACTCGTCCATTGTGTCCTTGTGCGAGAAAATTATGTATTAGGTATTCGTTGTTTAATATACATACTATTATTTACAACCGTTAAAAAAGTGACATTTCTTATTGATATGCATTTAAAAAACGTTTTTAAGTAACATTATGACATGCATTTGCGTTTTAATCCTTTCTCTATGGTTTCAATATAGTAATAATAATAATAATATTAAAGGACTTTATTGATTAGAATACCGAATTAAAATTGTACAATGTTTAAATACAGGGCGAGATTTAGTTCTCACACACTCCAAACTACTGCCTAGAGAATGTAAGTCTATTCTTACAACTGTAATCGAATGAGAGCAAAAAAACGGCAGCCAATACCGAGAGCTCTCGCCTAGGTTAAACGTAAGAGCTTTAAAAATTGCTAGGAGACGATAGAACATTGTTGTATTAAAAACATTTAAAAATCTTTTGGCCAACTGTATTTACTAAGTTGTCAAAAGCTTTCAAAAATGAGGTTATTAATCTATGACTTATACTTCAGAACGCAAAGGTTTTAAAATAACGATTAGGAAAGGGCTGGGAAAAAACTCGCGTTGTCTCCCTGGCGTTGCGCCCCTAGACCACACTAAATAAATAAATAATTATCATTTCAGTATAATCATCTAAGGAAAACATTATTTATAATAACTTAATTTATAACCTAATATAATATTAATGACAGGAGTTTGACAGCAGTGTCACAATGAATTGGATTCCAGTGGACCAAATATTTTACATATTTTTTATTATCAACAATGCAACCTAAGTATCCTAGCAATTTAAAGAATTCCCTATGGCCATCTATTGGGATTGGCTATCGTTTTTTATTCTTATCTCGCTTATCCTTTGCGTTAGACAATTTTAATTTTCAAATATGTGTTTCACGTTACTTTCGGCACGTTCCGGTTTTCTATGTGGCGCGAGTTCTGGGACACCCTGTATATTTACCTATCAAGTATAATTCATAAATTAATTACAAAAATATATTTAAAAATACGATAATTTTTAAGCCTTGGTAAGATAAATCCATTCCCATTGGCAACACTTATGGTATATACCATGCAGAGCTGTTCCGAGTACAAGAAAAAAGTACTCGAGTAAAAGTACAAGTACTTTGAAAAAAATGTATTTCAGTACAAAGTACAAAGTACAAAAAAATCCAAAGGTACTCACGAGTACAAGTACAAAGTACTTTTTCCAAAAACTCTTAAAATGTAATTTATGTTTCAGTATCTAGCAAAAAAAGTTGTTAAAAGTTAAACATAACAAAATATCAGGTTTAGGTCACTTAAGCCGGATTTAAGCCGGATTTATAGTTCTAAAAAGTAGGAGTAGCAGTAGCAGTAAGCCAGTGTTGCCAATATAATAATATAAATGCTGCAATGTGAATGGCTGGAGTAGCGTTCAGTAGCAACCAAGGTCGTTGGCGTAAGAGATGGCCAAGTTTTAAGGGATATTTAAAAAAAATGCATTTTTATATTTCTTTAATACACGTATTTATTTATGTTTTAAATATTTTTTTTTTTCAAATAACCAATTATTTCGATTTTAAACAGAAAAAAATAATATTAAAATAGATTAACTATTCTTTTACATAGGTATAACCTTTATTACCTATAGGTATACCTATTCATGCAAGTAATTTATTATATATTTTATTTAAAAATAGCCTAAACATTATTTAACTGCAAGCAAGAAATTAAATTAAAGTAACATGCAAAAATATAACATAATTTTTTAAGCATACCAAATATAACAAAACTTAATCGAGTAGGTAATCAAATACAAAATAATATTTAAAATCCTACTTACCCCAGTATAACAAAAACCAAAACACTTAAAATAATACTAATGCACATTCTGTATTGCAGAATATTCTCAAATTTCTTTAAAAAAAACCGTTACATATGACATTATGACGGCACTACCAGAGATAAAAAAGGGCACTACCTCTTGTAATATGTATACATATTATAATTTGGTTATTATGTTATAATATCTCTATAAAGTAGGGCACCACAATGATATTTTACCAACTTGCCCATATCGAGGATTTATTCCGAATATTGCCGAACCGTTAAACTTTAGCTGCTAAAGCATTATAATTATGGCGATAAATTTGAATATGTAGTGCCACTATAGTAGTGGTTATGTTAACTTAACACAAAGATGCCTAATACAAAAAGTACTCCAGTACATTAAATGTACTCGAGTAGTACATTAAATGTACTCGAGTACAAAAAATTTACTCGAGTACAACCAATGTACTCGTGTCCATTTTTACATTATTAAATTAAATAAGTACAAGTACAAGAACTTTTTTTGAAATGTACTCTGGACTGAGTACCGAGTACATAAAAAGTACTTAAAGTACAAAATTTGAGTACAAGTACTCGAGTACCGCACAGCTCTGATACCATGGCAACACTGTTATGCATTTGCATAGTTCAGAGAAAAACCTTAAGGTTATAAATTTAAATTATGGCACTATGACATCAAATGCATTTCTGTGAAATCACCTGGACCTCACCTGGAGCTCATTAGCTGAATCATTGCTGAGCTCATCCTGAGTTCTTGATGAGATCATTTGTGAAATTAATTTCACAAATGATCTCATCAAGAACTCAGGATGAGCTCAGCAATGATTCAGCTAATGAGCTCCAGGTGATTTCACAGAAATGCATTTGATGTCATAGTGAGTTCACTGTAAGCTCACGCGATGATTATCACTGAGTGATTTTTTAATGAGTCATAAATGTTATCTGGGTAAGTAGGTCTTCGTGCAGACGTTGCATACCGACGCGTCGGGTTATCATATGCGACGTTGGCCGGACGTCCAAATGCTATCTGGGTAGTTATATTATCATTTATAAATTTAATTTTGTCATCGATATTATTAGTGTCATAAATATTCCGCCAAGGCAGTGACTCTAAATAAGTTGGTATGTTACGTTCTTTTTTAAATTTTAATTTGCAAATCAGTGATCAGTATGAATGTAGATACTACAGTTGGTTCAGACAATATACTCACATTAGAAGTGAGAATGTAATCTATCAGGGTAGCGGAAGTCCCAAAAATTCTAGTAGGTTGGTTAATTATTTGCTTAAGGCCCAAACCATCAAGAGTCTGCGTTACAAATTTTAACTCACTGTTAGAGGCTAATAAATCCACAGACCACCAAAACA